ATAGTTACAGGTCAGAGTATCTGTTGAGATGTTAAGAATAACAAGTATCTCTTAAAATGTTTTCAATAATGAAACATTTAATATAATGAAGACAAAAACGAAAAATAAAAAGATAGCGACGGATCAGGACTCCCCGATCCTTACTGCGCATGTGCAGGGGTTTTCTTCTTCTTTTGTTTGTTTAATGGCAGTTTACACCCCAGTGTACGGGGATACTGCCACCTGCTGACCGAGCGAATGAACCCTATTGTAAACTGAATTAGCGTCATTACAAACGTGTGTTAAATTTGATTTAGTGATAGTCGAGTGTGTTTATGCTTGTCTGTGTGGAGAGGATTGTTGGAATAGTGATGATGATGTCCGCTATCACTGTCAGTTGTCAGTAAACACTTAATCTGGCTGATGAATCTTCATGTGACATATTACAAAGTCTGTATTATTAACTCTGTAATTAGGCGCCATTCTTCTTATTTTACGGCGCTGTTGTTCAAACGGGGAACGCTCTCTGTTGAGGAGAAAAGCATGAATTTGTTTGTATACGGATTATCCATAGTTTAAATGTCCCGGCAGTCGAAAAGGAGGCAGAGCTGCTGAGAAATGCTAGGAGCTAACTGGGCGCTAACCGTATCATTCAAATATATTGAATGTCGCAATGTTGACAAAAAGAGAGGAAGTGACGTAAGATTTGCGCATGCAGGGTACCGATCGGGTTTCCGGTACGGATCGGGTAGTGACAGTCCCGCTAGCTTGCACTCAGTGGCTCTGCGCTCGACAGTGCAGCCTAGGCGGAGTAGTCGAGCTCAGATCCACTGAGCGCTCAACACAGACAGCATCGTCAGAAGGAAAGTAAAAATGTTGTATTGTTCGATACATATGCGTACCGAACCGAAAGCACTGTATCAAACGGTTCAATATTGATACGAGTATCGTTGCACCCCTGATATTTACACAATAACAGACACATTTACATTTACATTAGAACGATATGTACAAGTTCTACACACACCTGCAGTTGTGCATGTAGCTAAACAGAAAATAACCTTCTAAAATCATGAGATCGAGGAAACTGTAAGTGTAGCTCACATTACGAGGTGAAACACTCGGGAATCAATCTGGAACAAGAAGTAGAAGCCAAAGATGACACCTGGCTGTACCCCTTCAACAAACTCATTACATTGTGATGTACGGCTGTGTGCAAACTGCGGGAAATCAGATCGCTTCTTTGTTTCAATGTGAGGCCACGTCAACAGCTACATGAGTAAATATACTTTAACTTCACAAGCTTTACTGAAACTGTCTAAATAACTTGTTAAATGAACGAGTATCATAACAGCCGCACTTTAAAGAAAAAGACTTGAGGACACACCCTTCCACAGAGCAGCACAAACACAAATGTTTCAGGTGAAAAAGTACCTGAGAGAGTTTTGTAGCTCCTTTATAACTCTTCCCCTGCTGCATGCTCTCCCACATCTCTATTTTCTGCCTCCTCCTCTCCTCTTCTTGCTGTCCACAAATTAAATAAAAACAGTGTTGACATCTGATATTGACAGAAAATCATCCTTCTTTGATTTTTTTTACAAATTTACTACTCTACCAGTTTCTGTTTCTCTCTAAAGATGGACGCTTTGGCATCGAGCTCTTCTTGCATCTTCATCCTGGCTGCTGCCACAGCCTCTTCTCTCCTTTCCACCAGCGTTGGATCTTTATGTAACAAACAGAAATCGAAAGTTAAATCAGGACGATGCAATAACATATCTAATAACATATCTTCAAGAGAAATACAGGTTACCAAGGGCAGATTGTTCTATATACCTACAGATCAGACACTTCGTGAAGACAGATAACAATTTTGAAAAAGCAGTATCTGAAAAATCAGACTTGTGTCTAAGGACTTCCAAGTCAATAATATTGCATGACGTTGTAGCTATAGTACATTACAAGGACAGAGACAAACAAACATGGAAAGAGAAAGAAAAGTTCAGAAATATGTGGAAAAGGTTTTTAAACGTCATGTGTCCCAAATTTGTTTCCAAAGACTTACAAAATGCATGACACCAGATCCCCTTTTGATTACATAGAGAACACAGCATCAACTCCTTCCCTACAGCCACCTGTGTACACCTCAACCCCCTTTCTTCTCCCACATGTTTGCACTGAGTTGGAGATGCTCTGTATCTCATTGTACATCTGTATAGTGACAACAAGTGCATTCTATTCTATTCTGTTCTTTTCTATTCTTCTCTATTCTTCTCTAAGAAAAATCTGTTGTAACTTGAAGCCTGGATAACAACAGTGACCGATACCCACGACCTAAACGGGATTCGATACATCAAAAAGAGGAAGGACTGGAGAACTTTGACTGGGCCTGTGATCCATTATTGTTGTAAATGATTTAATTCTAACATACCTGATCCAGGGTAAAAATGTAATTGCCCCCTAACCTAATTAATGGTTGTGCAACTCTTGCCAGCAAGAACCCCAGTGGATCATTTTCAGTAACAGCAATGCATATCTGACATTGCCTGGGGGGATTTGGGCCCAGTCTTCTTTGCAGACTTCTTTGCAGACACTGAAGAGTTTGAGGATGAATAGTCTGTTTAAGGTCATGTTGAAACATTTTAATCTGACTTTGATCAGGACACTTCAAAAACATATTTTTTTCCTAAATGAATCATTTAGAGGTGTGAGTGTGTTTCAGGTCATTGCCAATAACCCAAGTGTGCTCAAGCTTCAGGGTACAGACTAATTGCTGGAAGTTTTTCTGCAGGATTTTCTGGTACAGAATAGAATCCACAGTTTAATCAGCTATGATGTTCAGGTTCGTCTGTTCCACTCTGCATGTCAAATATCCTTCAGCAAGATCCAACGTTAAGTTGCTCTCAGGCAGGCTGCATAAAGCACTTTGAGTGCTCAGTAGAAAAGCACTACATAAGAACCAGTCCATTTGCCATGTTTGACTTTTGGTATGATGGTCTTTTTATGAGGCAGCACGGTGGTTAGCACTGTTGCTGCACAGCAAGAAGGTCCTGAGTTCAATTCCACCATCAGGTCTTTCTGTGTGGAGTTTGCATGTTCTCCCCGTGTTTGCGTGGATTCCCTCCGGGTACTCCGGCTTCCTCCCACCGTCCAAAAACATGCAGCTTGTGGGGATAGGTTAATTGGATAATCCAAATTACCACTAGCTGTGAATGTGGGAGTGAATGTGAGTACGAATGGTTGTCTGTCTGTGTGTTGGCCCTGCGACAGACTGGCGACCTGTCCAAAAAATGTTCCAGCTTTGTCTCAGGCCACACACTATTTTTCCAGGCAGTCCTTGTCTGCCTTCTGAGCTAGAAGAGTTCTGCAGTTCTTTAGAGGTTGTTCTCGGTTCTTTTGTGACCTCCTCTACATTGATTCAGTCTCTAAGCAATTTTGGTAGGCTGGCCATTTCTGTTTACCACCATTCCAACGTTTCTCTGTTTGTGTATAATGGCTTTTCTGGTGGCTTTGTAAACCTGTCCAGACCAATAAATTTCAATTACTTTATGTATCATCTGCTCTTGATTTTCTTTAAATTGTGTCATGATCTTTTAAGCTACCTCAACTTGTCAGAAAGGTTCTATTTAAGTCATCTTAAGACTGAGCTTCTCTCCTTTAGGGCGCAAGTATGTCCTCTACATTCGTCGCTTTGCGCACTTGCAATATCATAATATCGTTGCAATATCATCAGCACAGGAAGTCACTGCAGGGTTCTACTGAACGATAGGCATTACCGCCACATACACGCTTTTATAGGAAGAGAAGAAGTCAAAATAGGAAGCGAAGTCTTTGAGGAGTGCTTTTTGCAAAGAGTTTTCCACAAAGCCTCATGGTTTAAAAAGTCTTTCTACATCTCTAAATGTATACATTTGTATATCCCCAAGTTTCTGTGGTGGATTTAATTAAAATGGCAGTAAAACCATTACAGTCAGGGAAGGAAATATTTGAACCCTAATTCATTTTGTAAGTTTGCCCACTAACAAAGAAAGGATCAGCCTATAATTTCACTGGTAAGGTTATTTAGACAGTGAGATTCAGGACAATCACAAAAATGCATTTCATTCGCGCTCAATGGATGTGGCGCAACACACCGGGTTACAAAAATCGCTGAAGCACCACACAATGTGACGTTAAACTCAGAGCACGAACCAGTTAAAGGTGGTCAGCACCATACCTCCCTTGTGGGAAGAAAACAAATTTCCACCGCTTGGATCCGAGATCTCATTCTTTTGATGACGACCCAGAGTTTGTGACCATACACGAGGACAAGAATGTAGATCCACCAGTAAATGATCCAGCTGGAGGTAACAACTTGTTCCTTTCATCACTTTGCCTGGTTCTGCTGGAGGTTTCTTCCTGTTAAAAGGAAGTTTTTCCTTCCCACTGTCGCCAAAGTGCTTGCTCATAGGGGGTCATATGATTGTTGGGTTTTTCTCTGTATCTATGAAGCGCCTTGAGGCG